GCGCCTATGTCTGAGTAGTTTTACATTCTGGTCTCAAAAATTGGCACCTGAATTTCTGTTGCCTAAGCTTCAAGCGGAAGAAACAAGAAAGATTTGTGATATTTGTAATTATTACAAAATAGTATAAAGAAAACCATTTTTAAAATGAGCTCCAGAAGTCAGAACTTTCTTGTTATAGTTTCTATTATACAATCTTCTCACTGCAAGGCAGCTAAATATACTGGAGGGGAGAGGGCAGAAAAAAAGAGAAAGAAACACATTTACCTGTATAACTAACTCTTTAAGGAGGATGTTAAACAGTATCTCAAATTAAAAAGTTCTGATTCCAGGATTCTCACCTTCCAACAAGATTAAATTGTTAACCATTACAGATCTGTACACTATTGTTATTATATAGACTTACGAAGTTTATTTAACATTAAATTAAATTATATTAAGTCTTTCATTATGGATAATAAGATAGATACCAAAACAATTTGAAAGCAGAAAAAAAATCTGAAAGAAGTTGTTTTTTGTTTTTTTTTTCTCTCTCTTCACATGCAGATGATTTGCAGAACAAATTGCCACAAGATGTTTGGGACCAGATGGCAGAAATATGCTAAGAAGGATATCAGATAAGTTCTTCAAGGAAGTGGTCTTTGGTTCTGAGGCAACCTGCATCTTAGGAATTCTGTAAAACGATGAATGGTGCAACTTGAGAGGTTTCATCTGAGAAACTATCAGCTCAGTTCTTGCCATACATTCAGCCTTTCTAAAAAGATGCAGGGTACTGATGAAGGCTGACTTCTGGTCTGATCCAAAAGGGTAATAAATAAAATTTGGTCAGTTACAATGCTATAAAAAACCAACCTCTTGGAAATACTTCTTTAACTTTTAGCCTTTGTAATACAGAAATGGAGTGTGAGAAGATAACAAAGATGCCAGAGAAGCTACAGCACTGTTTTTCAACATAATGATTTTTGTGAGTATTTTTGTGCTAATTGTTATGTTTCTTGAACTACTAGTTCATTAATTTTCTGTCCAATTAGTTTGCAGTAACATATTCTTTGTTATTCCATTTTTTTTTAATCATGATTATCTTAAGAAATTGACATTAATGTTCTCTCCATGTATTAGTAATATGTTGATCACTAAAATTTATTAGTATCTATGCAACAAAAGTATATTTATCCCGAATTTATTTTCTTTTTGTGGAGAAGCCTAAACTTATGCTTCAAACAGTACTATTTAGAATGACAAAAATAATAGTTTCTTCACAAAAAGTCAATGTAATTCCAGTGAGCTCTAGAAGATTGAGCACTAGTCGTGTGTGTGTGTTTCCACATGAAAAATATCAAGCCATTAAAAATGTACTCTATTTCAAGGTCTAAAAAGGAAATAAAACTGTTGAGTTGAACCCAATTTTGAACTGCTTACATGTAAGCCAGACAGTGGCAGAAAAAGGTCATTATTGATTGCAGATATTAAGAAAGATATCTGTAAAATGAATGGATATACTAAGTATGTCCATATTGTCATTATATCAGTCAAATATGAAGTCCAAATTTATATTAAGAAATAAAATAAAATCAATGAGCAATTAACTTTCAGGTACCAAACAGCACAACTTTAAGCTCCAACAGCAACTTGCATGGGAGTTACATCAATCTGTTTCATTATTCACAACTGTCACGCCATTAAGAGCAAAGCTTTCCCTCAACCCCTGGAAAGGGCATGGTGAGGAGGGAGGAGCAGCAGAGAGGGGCTGTCAGGGACTGACTCCATCCCCATTCCCCAGTGGGTGGGTGGCTGGCAGCCAGTCAAGTTTAACGAGCATGGAAAAAAACAAGTGAGCCTGTAAATTCTACCTGTGGCAATTATGCATGTAATTCACAGCCTGCAATGGTCAGTAATTGAAAACTATCCTCTGCATAAGAAAAAGTGGTATGCAATACTTTGTAAAGGTATTACAATTAAATCTAGGAAGGCGTGTATCACATCACAGTATGCCTCTTTCCTCACACACTGCTCTGCATCGGGAGGAAAGATTAAAAACCTGCCCCAAACAGTTTCTGTGGGTGGGGAGCTGCTGCACTGCAAAAATAATCTGGCATCTTCAAACTGTCTTTCTTCCCCAGTACCTGTTCTGAGACTCGGCAGCTCTGCCAGGAGACCTTCTTCTAGATTTCACACAGTCTGTTGGTATTTTTCCTCTTGACAGTTGCATTACTGCTTCACAGTTTCTATAATGAAAGGTGAACAAGGTCTATTCTGAGTTTTCTAAAGCTAAGGTTTTGTGAAGTATCAGAACAATCCTACAGGATACAAATATATAGCTCTCATTGACCCTCTCAGCCAGTTTCAGTTTTTGCCCCCTCTCCAGCTATTCAGAACGTGCTAGGGAAAGCTGTGGTCTCTTTTATTTTCAGCTGTTTTCAGTCCTTTTCTTTCCAGAAAAGGACTTTTTTCAGTCCTTTTCTTTCCAGTATTTCTGGATAGAATATAGGTTCCTGGTACAACATGATTCGTGATCTTATTTCAAGGGCTTCATCAAGTTCTATACAAGGCCAGAAAATGATGTCTGTGAAAGGATAATTGGATTGCCATATAAAAAAATCTTCAACTCCCTTCACATGCTTAGCTTAATAGTTTTCTTAAGGGCATTCGTGTTTTCATGGTTCCAGTAAAGGTTAACAGGACTGCTGTAGAAACTTTTAGCTTGTTTACCATTCTCTTGTTATGAAGCCAGCCCAAAGAGAGGAAGTTCTGAAGCACAGTCCCAGATGTCTTTTTTTTCTTTTTCAAAAACAACAACAGCCTTCTAATATTTTATTGTCTTTTATTTTATTTTGTATTGTCTATAGTCTTTGTGCCTTTTAATAACTTAGTTTATAAAATAAGGTAAAATTTATACTTCAACACTTGCTAATTAACTTGTTATGCTTCTAATGAAACTGAGTAAAATCTTGCTTTAAATTATTTCATCAACAACTTGATGCCATAACTTTACTTTGTCCTCAATTTCTTTTCCTGAAACGTGACACATCCAGCTTTTTCCACCCATTATTGGATACACATTCATCACTGACTCTATCATCTTCTTCTGTCCAGTGATACTGTGCAACAGCACAACTGGTGCTTCACTGCAATAGCAGTCAATTTGATCACTATTTCAACAGAACTGAATGGTTGACATTCTTCTGTACAGCCCTTACTCTTACCTCCCCACACAGTCACAGATGGGGCACATGCTGGTTTAGCCACCTGGTGTACTTCATAACACTGTGTTATGTGTGTACTTCCAGCTCTGCCCAGTGTTGAACATGACAGAGGAGAATCACAGCAGCTTTATCCCTTTGTGGAAAAGGGGAGTTTATTCCCTAGTCTGTTCTCTTGATATTCGTTGCTTTCTGGTCATGATTCCAACACCAGCTGTCCACAAGCTGAATATCATTAAGAACTAATACCACAACACTATTTCAAACGATGTGGTCGAGTGTTCTGCCAGTTTGGAGTCACACTGTACTAATAGGAAGATAGAAAAAAAGCCACACCATGATGAGTAGTTGAACTTTGATGCCTTTAGGACCAGGTTTAAGTAGTTACACTGCTTGCACTATGTACAGACCACTGCATACTATGCAAAATTTGGATGGATGGTCACACAAAAATAAGCAAAGCAGCATGTTTTTTCAGGTTGTTTCTGGAGCAGTAATAAATACAGAAAAGTAGAATGCATTGCAAAATAGATTAAACTGTACATAGTAAGACTGTAATTTCACTGACACTTAGGAAGGACAGCGAAGTCTGAATGGCTTCTTAATGTCGTTAGAACTTTGACACAGAATTACATCATTGAATTACAGCCTCTAATCTTTATTTTTGATGTATACAATCCAATTTCTTTTAATAACACTGGGAAAATGAAGTAGTGATGACAGCAAGTAATTTTTAAACTTTTCTGTTGGAGGGTTGCTTTGCAGTGAAGTTCCATGTCTTTCTTTCTTTTTTTTTTTTTTTTTAAATTGATTGGAAACAGAAGTACTAAGACACTAAGAGATTGACTCCTGCTCTTACCCTGACATCAGAGTGGTTCCAAAGAATGCTTATCAACTTTATGCATATAAATATATAAAAACTCAAGGCTGATTAAGAATTGAAGAAAAGATATTTAGCAAAAAAAGTTTAAACTCCCTCTTCTGCGTTATGTTTCATGACATTTTTGTAGTTAATTGTAACCATTCTTTTCAATGAATCATGAAGAGACTATTTATTACTCTTGAAATAATTTGCACAATGGAATAAACATTTCTAGTAATTTAAAAATTATCCTTTAAATGTATCTTTCCATTCAAAATCTTTTTCTAATTACTAATGGATGCATAAATCAATATTGAGAGATAGTTGGCATGAAACAGTGACAGAAGGGCATTCCTTGTTAAATCCTTCAAAAGAGATTATGGAAGTAGAATACAAATATAAATATGTTTTGATATAAGGCTCAAGATGGAAATTTCAAGCACATCAGTTAGCTACAAGAAATGGTTTAATCCAGCACTCAAGACTATTATCTAACAGACAATTAACATCATCCTCTCATTTTCCATACATGCAAAAAAGGAAGCTTACACTAAATGAAAGATCGACCACCTCCTACTTAAGCTACCTTACGTCCATAAACTTATAAAAACTAGTTTTAAATTTAAGATCAATGTTGACATATCTATTATTTTTCCACATGTGATATACGAGCACTTACAGATGGATATGAAAACTGAGGTAGGAGCCTATTCCTAACAGCTGAAAGGCAGTAAGACTGATTTTCTTAGGGGGAATTTCTGCTGTATGCATGAATGTATGAGCACTTCCTATCTATCTTGTCAGGTTTTGGTAACACAACCAGATGTTTCTCGTTGTTTTGTTTTAATCAAAACAGAGGAGATTATCTCAACCTACTGTCATTCTCTTTCTCAGACATTAGCTTTCACACTGTAAGTTTCCCTGGACCATTAACAGTAAGGAAACTCCTCTTCCAACCCATTTCAATACAATGGTAGCTGGCACCTGCCTCACGTAGGTGGGACTGTGCTGCAAAAAGTGCACTGTTCAAACCATAGCTTAAAGTAATACAGAGCAGAAAATTGCTCACAAATCATCATCTGCCCTGAGCCATGACAAGGTAAGAAAGAGCAGAGATGGTATAAAAAGCAGAGCTCTGAACAGGCAGTCCGCGTTTATTTCAAGAAAGACCAAGTAATGTGTTGAAAACTCTTCTACAGGAAACTTTTAACCAGCCTCCTTTTCCAAAAGATCTTACTCACCTATGGCACTCGAGAATGTAATTTGGGAAGCAGATCTAGGAAGACTTTCGTGCATACACAGATGTTGTGAGCATTTCTACACCTAGAGGCTTTCGACACTGAGCCGCCACTCAGTCTGTATTCACAGGTACAGTGTGGGCCATCTCACAACTAGAAAGGAAGGGAACTAAGTGTATTTAGCAACTTCTAGTACCTTTCCTACTCACTGCCATCTCTAGTTCCCTTCTGAATTTACCCCCATTCTCCTACTTATTTTCTAGCTTTTTCAAGACACAAGGGTGCAATGACAGATGCAACAAATGGACAAAAAGAAGTCAAAGGCTGGCGGTAACAAACACAGAATTATGCAAAAATGCTCACTTGATTATTTACGCTGAAAAGAAATTTAAGGAATGACATTGGGAAACTGGTGTTCCAACATGGTCAAAAAAGAGTATTTTTATGTTATAAAAATTCTCTTGTGGGCTTATTTTTAGTTTTGAGCATTTGAAGTGATGTAAAAATGATATTTTACAGAGAAAGCAAGTAGTCTTTAAGCTTTTGTACTACTGTATTAGTGTGAAAACAGATAGTAAGAAAGAAAAATATATTTAATTATATATTTTCTTACATATGCTTAAAAGGCTACTCTTTAATTTTTGGATTTTCATCTCACAGCCATGTAAATGACCCAAAGTTTAACCACCGATACCAATAGGCTCTGAGTTGTTCTAGCATCAGTAAGTACCTAGGTGTCTTCATAGCTCAATGCATACACAATTAATCTTCAGACAAAAATAAGATTAGAGGTATAGACATTCCCATGACAATGTATTCAATAGAAGTAGCTTTCCTACTCCCCTGGTATTTTTACCTTGAACGTGTTTTAGAGATCAATCCCACCCTCTATGCTATTAATTCAAAAGCTGAGAGAGGAATAAAGTTCTTTTAAACTGTGTCCCTATGGTAAGCTTTCCAAATTCGCAGTTAACTCTCTATTTGTCTTCTTCTGAATTCTAATTCTTTTAAAATGAATGGTCAGAATTGTGCACAGAATTTCGGGTGATGTTTTACTAAGCACTTGTTCAATTTTACTGGTATTTCTCTCTCGAGAAGAGAAAATGCAATTGTCAGCTACAATGTATTAGGAGTATGAAATTCTCTCTTCTTCAGTAATTTCCACCAGTGAGCATATAGTTTAATGGAGCAGGTTTCAGTAAGTATATTGATGTACAGTCTTGCATCTCGTGTTATTAGGTTTAAACTCCATTTTCATGAATCTAGTTTTCAGAAAGCGAGCATTCTTGAATATTATTCTAATATTCAAAGAATATTATTAAGCATATCCATAACTTATTTGTATCACATCACCTCTGAAAACATTTATTACTTACGTGTCAACAATCTTACCATTAACCTCAGACTGACACTGAGGTTAATGACAATGCTGTTCTCCTCTTAGTCAATGTTTTCACAATCTCTTTATTTCTTTGCTCTTACCTAAGACTACTGATTTACCATGCAGTACCATACCAAGGTACTTTCTGAGTGAATAAGAGAGGTAGCCATTTGTATAGAGCACTCATTAAACAGTTAAAAAAAAAGTAGCAAACCAACACAAATAATCACCATCAACAATAAAGGATTAAAAAATAGTTTTGTATCATCTACTCTTCCATTTAATCTAATTTCAACTATTTTTCACTATACATTTGTTCAGGAATATTGCTTGGTTCTTGTCCCTCCTCTTATCCCTGTACATTTACATCTGGAAACACAGAGCATTGTTGCCATCATACTTATGCAATTTTGTATCACTCAGTTTTATTTAGAACTTGAAGATAATACAAAGTTCTTCTACAACTTCAGACTGGCAAACAGATAGAAGTGATGCAAGAATGTAAGAATTAGCCCAGTATGACCCTTGGTAACTATAAAAACATTGCTTAATCAAGCAGGGAGATAGTTGCTAGAACTCAAGTGACTAAAATATTTCTGGATAACAGAAGATATAATCTGTTGTGAGAGTAGTTCACCAAAATGTCAGGTTTAAGCAAAATTCCTCCAAAATGTCAGGCTGAAGTATAATCTAATGGCTAGAATTTCACTCTGTGCTGCATTGTGCCAATTGTAAAGAACAGCAAAACAGTTAATGTACTTAGAAGAGCCTTAAAGAATGAAGAAAGATAAAGAAAATAACCCACACAAGAACTGTGTAAAAAAAAACCCACAACCAAGCAGTCTAATTCCTATTCTTACTTTTAACAAATCCTAGGATTTGAACGAATAGCTTTTGGAGATCTCCCTTCAATATCTCCGCGCTAGAGGTTGTTTTCTGTGGTTAGTATGTGAAAATTAAGTCCTTTCAGAAAGGAAAGTATTTTGACTGCAAAGCCAGGAATAAATGACAGATGTGATGATGGCTACTGAGAATGCTGGATATGTCTGCACCATTTTGCGTTGAAATTTTTGGAAAAATATGATCCTAAAATCAAAAATTTGCCAAAAAAACATTTGCCCATGCACAATAATGAATTCTACAGTAGCTGTCAAAAGATGCAGAATAACAATCAGGGGCTGATTTAAGACAGGATTCCATGTTAACAGACAAATAGGAGTTTTGGAAAAGCTGTGTAGCAGTTGTTAAAATCTGTTTTCAGTTATGTCACAAGATGCAACTCATTAAGATATATCCTAATCCTGCCCAGAGAGGCTGTGGATGTTCCACCCCTGGAGGTTCTTTTAAGAGTGGCAGTGCCCTGTGGCAGGGCAGTTGAAACATGATGATCCTTGGGTCCTTTCCAACCCAAGCCATTCTATGATTCTATAATCCTTTTTTTCAAATGGCTTTTCGTAGAATTCCACAACAGGCTGTTGATTAAGCCTTTGACAATTTAAATTCAGGGCACAGTACATATAGTTCTAACAGAAAAACAGAAAAAAGTAAGCATTTCTGAGAATTTCAAAAAGTTTGGTTAACTCCAGGAGTTAAGGAGATCCTTTATTGACTTTTTACAACTAGAGCCTTAACATTTAAAGTTGCTCATGAAACAAAATGAGAATGGCAAACACAAGAGTCACCTAGAAAGAAAGCTGGGTGAGAATTAGTATTGCTCTAGCAGAGTGAAAAAAAAAAATCAATAAATATTACAATAGTTAGACATATTAGTATTTCTAGAGAGATGAATGACAACTGAATATGCAGCTAGGAAGAAGGGTTAAGGTCTGTCACAAGAAATGGGAATTGGTAATCTCCCTGAATCTTTCATATACAGGAGAAAAACAGAATAGAACAAAAAATGCCGTGTGCCCACCACATATGAGTAGTTTCAGATGCTATACAAGAGTTAGAAGACTGATGACAGCACTATAGTAGGTCCACTATGGCTTATTAAGTCCAAGACCTTCTTCTGACAGAATCTGATACCAGGTGTCTCTTAGGAAGATGCAAAAAGTCATCACAGTCTTCCCTCAAATAACTATTTAAATCCGCCTCTCCTTTCTCTCCCTTTTCTCAGTTGGCTTCTCCTGTCCAGAGAGAGAGAGAGAGAGAGAGAGGTCCTGGACTGTCCAAAACCAGTGCAGTTCAGTTGTTGTTAATGTCATGCATTAACACGTTGTGTGCATTTGTCATCTGAGGCCATTTCAACATTTCTTAAAGAATTCTAGCCTTTTGAGCTGCCCAGTGCTTTGTGCAGTGACTTTTTTCAAATTCCTCCAGTGGTTCAGGAAAATATAATGTGTGATTCAGCAAAGCAACACTTCTGAATTTACTTTAAATTAAGATATTTTAAGGTTGATTACATGTTTTCATACTATAACAACTCAGGGACATAAACGTCTTCCCTCCTCTTATCCTTTTATAAACATACATAAATATTTCCTTTCTAAATATCACCTCCACTATCCAGCGTAGGAAGGCAGAAATTCAGCAAGAGCTGCACAGGGATGCACTTCAGGAAAAAGCCGATGTCAGGCTGAAATAATTTTCATGAGTGGACTCCATTAAAACTCTTTTTTTAGCCATACTCTGGGGATTTTCTCAATTACGTAAATGCCGTATGTTTTCAATTTCTCTGTAATTGATTGTGTCTCCACATTTCCAGGTATTTTCTTCATTCATTGCTGTTCCTCTGCTGTCATGTACAAAACTAAAAACGTTCCAAGGAAGAAGATAAGATTGATGTGTTTTGCAGCATTTTTCAATATTTTTATCTGGGCCAGTTAACATTTTGTTTACTTTTCTAATCTATCAACACAGAAAGAAAACTTTAAAAGAATAAGTTACAGAGAGCACTGCTCTTATTTATTAAGTATAGAAGGAAGTGGTTAAGAGCACATTTAATGGAGCCCTATAAAATTGTACTTTTAGGATAAATAATAATATAATTTGAGTTACCACTAATTTTAACTCTAATCAGGCAAAAAAATGTTAAAAGAAATATACAAGAGGGAAAATATTCTTAGAAAACTGTACTGGGTCTCGCTGGAATTGATTTAATAGAAATTTTAAATTTGTGACTAAAACTGTTAATAGAACACCTGTATTTTGACTAATATTGAGCACTACTTTCACAGCTTTAAGGATTTCTCTTTTTTCCACTCCTCACTGCAAGTAGGCTGCAGATGGTAAGAGTCCAGGAAGGTATGCAACCTGGACAACAAATCCAGACTGACCAAAAGGCTATTCTGTGACATCTAAAATCATGCTTAAAATAAAATAAAATAAAATAAAAAATGAAGGGGGAAGTCTGGCTGAGCATTGATCTACTGGTCAGATGTGGTAAGTGATTGCCTTTACATAATCTGTTTTGCTTTGGTTTTCCTACTCTTTCCTTATCAAACTGTATTTATCTTGACCTGTAAGTTTTCTTGCTTTTGCTCTTTCTATTGTCTTTCCTTTCTCACAGTGGGGGAGAGTAAACAGTCCCTGTATGGTACTTAGGTGCTGGCTGGGGTCAACCCAGCACAAAAAAAATTTACTTATATGCATGGAGTAGTAATTACAGAATCTCTTCTAAGTAAAATAATTGAGAAATAACAGAAAAAAAAACGTTACTCATTGTAACCACATACCATTCTAAAAACAAACAGAAAATAAGAAACTTTTGTTGTATTTGGTTATTTTCATTCACTCTCATAACAATGTTATCATATGAAAAATTTTCTTCTCTGATCACAGAATCACAGAATTGTAGGGGTTGGAAGGGACCTCCAGAGATCATCGAGTCCAACGCCCCTGCCAAAGCAGGTTCCCTACAGCAGGTCGCACAGGTAGGCATCCAGGCAGGTCTTGAACATCTCCAGAGAAGGAGACTCCACCACCTCCCTGGGCAGCCTGTTCCAGTGCTCCGTCACCCTCACTGTAAAGAAGTTCTTGCGCAGTTTGT